TGAACCTACTTTAAATTGATCAAAAGTTAAGCAAGCTGCTTACATCTCATAGAGTTGGTTTTAGGCTGATCTTCAGCAAGCTGAATTGTATTCTCTGCTGGACTATGATTTTATCCAGTAGAGATCAATGTCTTTTTTTGAGAATAAGTTTATTCTTACTACCTAATGGTTTGGAAATTAAAGAGAATCCTTGAAAGGCAGATTTAGTTTCTCTGTGATGATAATGTCAAGGGCGTGGGGTATGGGAGATAAAACTCAATGTTTCAGACTTTATTACAAGTATCTTTCTACTTTGTGATCTGAGTCAGCTTTTGTTTATGGACCATCCTGACTAAGGCAGGAGAAAGGATGCTCTCAAGGACTTAGCATATGAGTTACATTCTTGGTGGTGATGGTCCAGAAGGGAGGTATATAGTTGTGATAGTGGTTTTTGTCCTTTCCATACATGACTTCAACTTTTTTTTTATCTTTAGAAGCTAAATTCTAAAGCAATGATGGAAATGGTGATTGCTCTGGCAAATTTAGGTTCTACTGTACCCTATCCTTCCTATCCTTCTGGACATATTTGTGTACATCTTTATTGTGTGGGTTATATGCAAAGCTGGGGCCAGAGTGTGTATTAGTTGATAAAAGCAGTACTTTATCTGAATAGTTGTTCACTGTTGCTTTTATGAATAGATTCATAGAAAAAAGGGTAATTTAGGACACATAAAATACATGATTGGAAATTAAACTGAGTGTGTGTGCATGAATCCATTGTGTTGTAAATCTAAAGGAATTGGTTTCATAATCATAATGTAACAGAAAAGAGTTGTTTATTTAGGTGTACAAATACAGAAGGATGTCTAAAATGTATATTCACCAAAAATTTTAAACAGTTGAATAATGATTCTTATGGAAATGGGAAAAATATTTCTTGTTAATTAATAATTTTATTTATTTAACAAGTACTCAGTTTATACTAGGCAATATGCTAAGTACTTCGCATACATTCTAAATAATGTTGTTTTAAATAACATTATGCATTTGATATTATCATCCCATTTTACAGATGAGGAAACTGAAGTTTAGCAAGACTAAGTAACTTGTCTGAGATCCTATAGGAATTAAATGAGGAAAGTGGAAATAGAATCAGTGAGTTTATCTGGCTTCATGGCCATTAAAATATTGTATTTGAGGTGCAAAATGGGAGATACACCTGCTGAGAAGTAAGTTCTGGAGCAATTTATGCATCCAGATATTGGTGAAGTGACTGCCCCTAAAGGAATGACTTGTTCCCTCTTCTCATTCTGGAGAAAACTGGCAGGACTTAGGGAGCCCCTGAATATATGGGAATCTTCTCAGAAAATGAATTTATATCAGTTTTGGTTGTGCTATAAAATGTTTTTAGTCATATAAAAATAAAATGTCACAAGAAAGCCCTTAGCTCCAGATATTTAGATGATGAATTATTGAGCCTCTTTTTGTCCTTCCTCTTTCTTCATTATATTTCTTGTAAAAATTGACCATTATGGCCGGGCGCGGTGGCTCAAGCCTGTAATCCCAGCACTTTGGGAGGCCGAGACGGGCGGATCACGAGGTCAGGAGATCAAGACCATCCTGGCTAACCCGGTGAAACCCCGTCTCTACTAAAAAATACAAAAATCTAGCCGGGCGAGGTGGCAGGCGCCTGTAGTCCCAGCTACTCGGGAGGCTGAGGCAGGAGAATGGCGTGAACCCGGGAGGCGGAGCTTGCAGTGAGCTGAGATCCGGCCACTGCACTCCAGCCTGGGCGACAGAGCGAAACTCCGCCTCAAAAAAAAAAAAAAAAAAAAAAAAAAAAATTGACCATTACAATCAGAGTAAGTCTAAAAAGAAAGGAATTAATATTGAAGAGAAAAATTGTTTTGTTTTCCTTTTGAAGAATGTTAGGTTTTGTAACTTTCTTGACTCAAATATTTGTTGAATGAGTGAGTGAGTGAATTTGGATGATTAGATGTGCATTCCTGAAATATAAACTGTTCCTACTCTCAACTGTTACGGGTAATTGGAAGGTGGGTTGACATTAGCTTTTGCTTCAAAAACATAATTATTTTCTTTTGATTTTCACAAGTTCAGTACACAATTTCATTCCTATTAGGCTGTTTATGAGACTCTGTTATAATCTACTGACCTTCACTTATATGAGATGAATCAGTGAATAATGTAGCAACATACCTTAATTTAGTCTATAAAGTGAAGTTCTAGAAATTATTCCCTTAGCCAAATGAGAGCACTATATAGAAAGAAAACTCTAGGAACACATATGTATTAAACATTTAAAAGTAATCCTAGGAAGGGAAATTTTATTTTAATTAATTTTTTTTTTTTTTTTTTTTGAGATAGAGTTTCACTCTGTCACCCAGTGGCGTGTGATCCGATCTCGGCTCACTGCAACCTCCACCTCCCAGGTTCAAGTAATTCTCCTGCCTCAGCCTCCTGAGTAGCTGGGATTACAGGCATGTGCTGCCATGCTGGGATAATTTTTTGTATTTTTTAGTAGAGACCGGGTTTTACCATGTTGCCAAGCTGGTCTCGAAGTCCTGAGCTCAGGCAATCCGCCTGCCTCAGCCTACCAAAGTGCTGGGATTATAGGCGTGAGCCACCGTACCTGGCCGGGAAATTTTATTAAGTAAGGACTAGGTGATTTTATTTTCATTTGATTTTGTCCTTTATTTCTTAAATATGGAAGGTCAAGTGTGCATAGAAAAAAAATTCTCAGTATTATGCAGATTTACCCTCTAGATTTTTTTTTTTCCTACCAATTTTTCTTTCCCTGAATCAGACTGTTGGAACCATTTAAACACAGCATAATGCTAAATGCATAATCAGTTTCTAGGGAATACAGTCCAATGATTTATCTCTCTTAATGTCCTGAAAAGTACAAAAGAGTTATCCTGCGGGACACTGGGCACATATGGTTCCCAGTACACTGAAATAGTTCAGCAATGGCAGTGGTAACATTTTCATTCCTCATCTTTCAGGTAGTTTATAAGTGGAAACTATTAACTTATGGAAAGAGGGCTCTTCTGTTGGATAAAACCTGGCAGTGAAAACTTTGGTCTGCCTGGTTACCAGATTTTTGTACTCAAGACTATAGACAAGATAAAACAAATGTTTCATAATATATCCCTTTATACAATACTTTTATATTTACCTTTTTCTATACCCTCACCCCTCCCTGCAGTTTTCTTTATCATTAGAAACTACATTTACCTTGGCAAATGTAAATTTTCTGTGTATCCTTTTGCTTAAGTTATGGTGATTTTTTAAGGCTCTATTTTAATTCACGTTTAGCATTTCATTCCTGTAAGCCATTAGAATTTCCTCTGGATCGATTTGTAAGCAAATTTGTTTGCTAGCAAATTTGGAAGTTTTCGGTTTGCTTCCTCTTTTTCTGTATATGAGATCTAATTACCACCCAGCATGAAATAGCAACTGAAATGAAGGCAGCAAGAAAAGGTAATGGCTTACCTTAGAGCTAATCAACCACCCCCTTCTTGTATATTTCACAGCTATAAAGAGAAAAAGAAATGGCATTCATTAAAATAACATATATTAAACTTTTTTTCTTTCTTGATTTGAGACTGAAGAGAAGATTTCTTCAAATCTTTATGGAAATAAGACATTAAGCAATTCTTTTAATTTGCAATAAGCAGTCTGATGTGAATTGTACAAAATACTTTCACCATCAGCGTGGCTAAAAGTAGTCCCATACTATTTTCTTGACCTTAAAAAGATAAACATTTCCAGGAATAAAGTAAAATCAAGAGAATGTTTAATCATTTTTATAAGGTTTAGAATTTGACTCAATTTGGGATTTTGGTTTCTAAATTTGTCTTCGACAAATATCTAGGCTTATCTTTAAAGAAGATACCATCCTTCACGCCTGTAATCCCAGCACTTGGGGAGGCCGAGGTGGGCAAATCATGAGGTCAGGAGTTCGAGACCAGCCTGTTCCAACATGGTGAAACCCCATCTCTACTAAAAATACAAATAAATAAATAAATAAATAAATAAATAGCTGGGCATGGTGGTGGGCGCCTGTAATCCCAGCTACTCGGGAAGCTGAGGCAGGAGAATCACTTGAACTCAGGAGGCAGAGGTTGCAGTGAGCCAAAATCGCACCATTGCACTCCAGCCAGGGCAACAGTGTGAGACTCTACTTCAAAAAAAAAAAGAGATCATCTTAATATAGTAGCCTGTAGCTTCCTGTTTTGTGGAATCAGTTTGTTGCGTAATTAACCTAGGAAAAATTGATAGTATTTTTACTTTTTAAATGACCGTGGTCTGAATTTTTACTTATCAGATTATCAGATTTAAAAATTATATAATCTGTGGCATTAGGCATACTCTACTATTGTTTGGAGTATGTATTGGAATGACATTTAAATGAAAATTATAAGTTACGTTCATCAAAATTGGAAATGCATGTAACTTTTGACTTTGCAATTAAACCTCAATGAATTTTTCCTTGAACATGTGCATAAGACATATGTATAAAATATTCCTTATGATATTGTTTGTTATATAAATAAAGCAAAGAATATGGTCACTAATAGGAAAATGTTAAGTAAATTATGATATATCTATATCCAGATATACCTTATTTTTAAAAAGTAACTGCTCCTACAGAGAATAAACTATATGTACATGTCTTCATAAGGAACACTCTATGTTATCCCATTAAGTGAAAGAAACAGTCTAGTTTGCTTCTATGGAGATGTATGTATATAACTTCCTTCCATCCCTGCCCCTTTTCCCCATATAAACATACATACACACACAAATATATGTAGACGGATGGGTGAAAAGATACAAAGGAGCTGTTGGTAGCACTTATCTTGGGTATAGGATTATGGGTCTGGGATAGAAGGCAAGTTTTTATGTTTTTCTGTTGTTTACTTGTTTGCTGTTTGAGTTTTTTACCATAACTGGAAAAAAAATTTAATAACCAGGTCTGTTTTTTTTTTCTTTTTTAGGACTCAGCCCAGGAGAGTGTTATTACTCGAGATATTCATCGTACATTTCCCGCACATGATTACTTTAAAGATACTGGAGGAGATGGTCAGGAATCGCTCTATAAGATCTGCAAGGTAGGACCCTCTACCTCACTTTTTCTAAATTATTTTACAGAGCTGTATTTTAGAAACCCATTTAAGGATTTTTTTACTCTGTCTTCATTTCTTATTTGCACTATGCCATGTTTTCTGCTTTGCACACACGCTATGAGATCCTCAGTACTGATCCCAGAAGGTGACTTTTTGGTTGCATGTTTCATGCCTCATTATGAGGGAGGAGGCACAGCATAGCCTCCGTTTGGCTCTCCTGCTAACAGGAAAGAAAGGAACAAAAGGTCTTCTCAGGCTATGTTGTAAAAGCTCAAAAGAGTCCCAGATGAGGCCGGGCGCGGTGGCTCAAGCCTGTAATCCCAGCACTTTGGGAGGCCGAGATGGGCGGATCACGAGGTCAGGAGATCGAGACCATCCTGGCTAACAAGGTGAAACCTCGTCTCTACTAAAAATACAAAAAACTAGCCGGGCGAGGGGCGAGGTGGCGGGCGCCTGTAGTCCCAGCTACTCGGGAGGCTGAGGCAGGAGAATGGCGTAAACCCGGGAGGCGGAGCTTGCGGTGAGTTGCGATCCGGCCACTGTACTCCAGCCTGGGCGGCAGAGCGAGATTCCGTCTCAAAAAAAAAAAAAAAAGATGACTCTGTCTTTCTGACAAGATCATGCAGCAATTGTCTCCATTTTTCTGACAACAGGCAAGCGTAAGAATCAGTGTGCTTATTGTTGAATACTGGCAAGTTATTGGATGTTGTTGATGTATTCTATCACATCATATATTTTTGTATGATTTTTATATCCCATTTTGAAATCTTTTTTCTCCCTCATTATTAGTAGGCCTGGAAAAAACTGTTTCTGATTTTCAGTAAATGTCCTCTGCTTGGATACAGAAGATTCTGTCTCTGTCAGTATAGAATAGCCATCAAGTTATTAATTTTATCAGAAATGCAGAATGAAGTGTGGTGGGTATACTCACATTGTTCGTATCTACCATTCTAAAGAGATGATTAATGAATAATGAACTGCACAAAAATTTGGTAATAGTATGGAGAGAAAGGCAAACATCATGGCTAATTTGTAAGTTAGGTTATCAGTTCCTGAATAATCCAATTTAGCCTTTGTAATGAGTAGAAAATATTAGCCAGTAGGTAGTCAGAAGTATATTCACAGATCTATTTCATTTTATATTTATTGTTTTTTAAAAAGAACACTTATAAAAGCACTCGCCTACATATTCTAACCAAGTAGGATTAATGTTTAATTCTGCAAATGGCACAGCTTTCATTAAAGTCCTTGCATGTTGGTGGTTTTGGCCTCGTCCCACTCCTGTCTCTTTTTTCCTTGCTTTTTCCTCTCTCTCATACTTTTTGATCTAACCATTTTGGAGGCTTATAAATATATGCTGATCAGAAATCTATTTTTATATGAATGTGTCATTCAGAGCTAGAAATATGTAACTTATAATCTGAGAGTATACTGATCTTTGGAAAGCGATGTAGCATCTACTTTGAAAAGCACCAAAGACCACTGGATGCCACAAAAAAAGTTGTATGTTCATTATATGCCTGTGAAGGACAAAAGTAATTATTTAAAAATTTTTTCTACTAATTTGAAATTCTGCAAACTGATTACTGGCTTGTGTAAAGATGTTAGGAAAATTTATATCATTTCCAAGTTTATTTAAGAGGGTCTAGTTTATGGCATATGGAACATTTTTTTCCCCAGCATATAGTATATTTTCAGCCCGTCAATAACTTTTCCCTCAGCTTTCCTGTGATTGATACTAGATACTTTCTTCATAAAGCTAAAACAGATGGTTCTAATGTGCTTGCAACTTCTGACTTAAAATTTTGCTCCATTGTAGTAAAAATAGTGTTTGCCTTGTTATGTAATATTTAGAGGGGAAATAATCTGAAACATTTCTAAACACAAAAATAAAAGTTGAATGATGGGCACTTTTAAATAGTTGATACACTTTGCTTTGGTGTTGCAAACAATAATGCAACCTTGAATTCATTCGAAAATATTCATCAGTACATTTGCAGAGCTCATGTGACCATTTTAGATTATCAGTATATATTTTATGACATGACTAAACCATTTTAAAACTCTGAATGAAGAATATTGTAAAATGTAGATCTGAGATACTTTATTATCGACAAGTAGCTTAAATCACACTAAATTTTGTGAAGGTGTAGAAAACAAAATTACATTAGACATAGTATTAAATAAAAGTAATAAAAGTTTTTAAGGATTTTAATGCTGTACTGAGCTGTATATACATAAAAATAATTTCACAACAGTCTTTGATAATGGATGTGAGCAGAGATGTATACATCCTACCCTGTAGACCACTTGGTTTGTGACTGACCCGGTTCCTTCCCCTCTTGTTTTACTATTATTTAGTAATCCAGTGCTCAGGCCAGGAAACCTTAAGTTCGATGATAGCTCACAAATACGATAGCATACCTATGAGTAATTTAGGATAGCATACTTATGAGTAATTTAGAATGGAGCATTATTCTCAAGGTTCCGCATCCACTCTTCTTTGTTTTTTGTATCCAATTTGAACCACAGTCTTTTATTTTATGACCCCCATCCTCTATTCCCAAAAGCTGCCTATGTATAACCTTTAAGGCTTAAAGGTAGTCTAACCATTTAAAGGTAGTCTAACTGTGTAGTCTAACTGTTCCAACATTGTTTCTGGAACCATTGGTTCTAGAATAGTAACTAGCATTAAACCTCACACTCAGCAATCCACCTTTGAGTTTCTTTTCTGGACACCCCGTACAGAATTCAATAAACATTAATAACACCTTGATCTTATCTCAGCTGCTTTGCTATATGTAAATAAGGACAGTTTTACTTTTCCTTTACCAATTCTTATTCTTTTTCTATTTGTCTCTTGTCTTATTGCACTGACCACACCTTTAGTATAGTGTTCAAATAAAGCTATCATAGCAGATACCTTTTCTTTCTCCTGATTTTAAAGGAAATGCATCTAATGATTAACCACTAAGAAAGCTGCGTCTTCTTCACATCAGCAACACAATCATAGGCCTTTAAAAAAAATACAGTGTTTTCTATATGTTAAAATAATTTTACATTTGCAGAGTACTTTCACATATATTACCTCATTTATTTTTGACAATTCTTCATCAGTAGAGCCTACACTAGGGATATAATATACTGTGCTCTTAAATTGAGCAGAAATTAAGAGAATTTCAATGACGGTAAGTTTAGAAATCAACTCTGTTTTCAAGGATACAACAATCTGACTTTGTAGTTGAGAAGTTTTCTGTGACTCTGGTGAAAGGAGAAATGATTTGAACTGCCATGTTAGAGGGTAGACTGTTAAAAATTCACTGTCATGTTTTAATGGCCCTGTCAATTCCAGTTTTGCCTCTTAATATCTTTTTCAGAGTAGGAGGAAATCGAAATGGTTCAAAGCTTCTTCTGTTGTCATAAATTTATATGGGGGAAGTTGAGCTGAAAGTATTAGTAGAATTCATAGGTTTCTGCAGATGAAAAGGTTTGCAAACTAATAGATTTCTACAAATGAAAGTTTCTGCAAATTTGGTTCTTCCTTGTTTCTCTCCCTGTTTTTCCTATTGGTTAGGTCAATAATATATTTTAAAAGAATGTCCATAAGACCGGGAAGAATATATTACCACCCCAAATATATTTCGCATTTTTATTATTTAATATGTGATATAAAAATCTGCTGTAAGCTGGGAGACAAGTTGATACAGTTTAAAGCACTGGGCATCAGGAAATCTGGTTCTGGTTTTGATTCTTTCACTCAGTAGATCTAAGAATAAGGGAAACTTGTAAGGGTGTGGTGTCTGATAAGATTGTTCCGGTTCCAATTTTCTATGATTCTCAGTGTTGTTTAATTTTTTTTTTCCTGACATATAACACATAAATGCAGAATTTAGCAGTTAAATCCTGTGTCAGTTATTAGCTCTGACTCTCAATACTAAAGATATAAAAGGGTCTTCTCCTTAAACCTGAAGATTTTACCTGGCCTTCTGTACAGTGTTTGGTTTGGCCCATCAAATGGAGTGCATTTAGTGGTTTACTTTTAGAGATATATCTCTTTGTAAGACCTAAGACCAGTTAGTCATAGTAATCAGCTAAAATATTATTCACAACAATATAATTGGAAGTGATATTTGGTGTACAATTTAATTTGTGCATATTGCTTTTTCTCATTTTTTGTTTGGTGTAAATGCTCTCTGAAAAAAGAGGATACTGCTATTAATGGGAGAGATTGAATATATTATAGACAGATCAGTACTTTTGTTTATCTGAATTAATAATTTGATAGCATAATGGTTTATAGGAGGACAAAATAAACTTAACCCTTATTTTACCAAATATTTTTATCAAAAAAGATTGGATTTATCATAAAAACTAGAGCATTTAAAGTATTGTTTTGATACTAATGATGAGTTATCTGCTGCATAATTTCAAAGAATGCAAACAATCACGGACTCTTAAAATGACATGTAATCATACATTATTTATATTGTTTTCTAGACATAGGGGACATTTGTGATTATGAGGATGAATTATTTTTCACTTAGTTGATATTATTTTCAATACAATTTTCTAGCCATTTTCCTACTTTTAATTCAACTCTTTCTTGGTGTGTCTGAATGAGCCCTAGTTTGAATATCAGTATTTACTGAACAAATTATAGTCCACTATGCCTGCCTGCCTGCCTGCCTGCCTGCCTTCCTTCCTTCCTTCCTTCCTTCCTTCCTTCCTTCCTTCCTTCCTTTTTTTTTTTTTGACAGAGTCTTGCTCTGTTGCCCAGGCTGGAGTGCAGTGGTGCCATCTTGGCTAATTGCAACTTCAGCCTCCCAGGCTCAAGCAATCCTCCCACCTCAGCCTTCCAAGTAGCTGGGATTACAGGCACGCACCACCACTCCGGGCTAATTTTGGGCTTTTTAGTAGAGACAGGTTTCACTATGTCAACCAGGCTGCTCTTAAATCCCTGAACTCGAGCAATTCGCCCACCACGG